TGTAAAAAAAATTTTTTTGAACTTTGCGAGGTCCAAAAGTCACGGAACCTAGCCTATCCACGAAGCTCACCCTGTCTTCGTTCGATCTCATAACGTTAAGAGATAGGGATGCAAAGTCCTATCCTTCAACACTGGCCACAAAAATTGTCGTCCTCATATCTCAAATCAATTTGTAAAAATTTTTTTTTTCATCTCTGCGAGGTCCAAAAGTCACGGAACCTAGCCTACACGAAGCCCACCCTGTCTTCGTTCGATCTCATAACGTTAAGAGATAGGGATGCAAAGTCCTATCCTTCAACACAGGCCCCAAATAGTGTCGTTCTCATATCTCAAATCAATTTGTAAAAAAATTTTTTTTTGAACTTTGCGAGGTCCAAAAGTCACGGAACCTAACCTATCCACGAAGCTCACCCTGTCTTCGTTCGATCTCATAACGTTAAGAGATAGGTGAGCAAGGTCCTATCCTTCAACACAGGCCCCAAAAAGTGTCGTCCTCATATCTCAAATCAATTTGTAAAAAAATTTTTTTTGAACTTTGCGAGGTCCAAAAGTCACGGAACCTAGCTCACCCACGAAGCTCACCTAGGCTTCGTTCGATCGAATCCCTCCCCCAACGTTAAGAGCTGCGAGTTCTCGAATTCCGACTCGATAACCCGGTTTCCTCTCGCCTTCGTGTAACGAAAGACGCGGAATTCGGGTTTCTCGGTTGTCTTCGAAGGGTCCTATCCTTCAACACAGGCCCCAAAAAGTGTCGTCCTCATATCCCAAATCAATTTGTAAAAAAAAATTTTTTGAACTTTGCGAGGTCCAAAAGTCACGGAACCTAGCCTATCCACGAAGCTTACCCTGTCTTCGTTCGATCTCATAACGTTAAGAGATAGGTGAGCAAGGTCCTATCCTTCAACACTGGGCCCAAAAAGTGCCGTCCTCATATCTCAAATCAATTTGTAACAATTTTTTTTTCATCTCTGCGAGGTCCAAAAGTCACGGAACCTAGCCCACTCACGAAGCCTACCCTGTCTTCGTTCGATCTCCCAACGTTAAGAGATAGGGGTGTACCACGGAACCTAGCCTATCCACGAAGCTCACCCTGTCTTCGTTCGATCTCATAACGTTAAGAGATAGGTGAGCAAGGTCCTATCCTTCAACAATGGTCTTAAAAAGTGTCGTCATCATATCTCAAATCAATTTGTAATTTTTTTTTTCATCTCTGCGAGGTCCAAAAGTCACGGAACCTAGCCCACCCACGAAGCCCACCCTGTCTTCGTCGATCTCATAACGTTAAGAGATAGGGGTGCATTGTCCTATCCTTCAACACAGGCCCCAAAAAGTGTCGTCATCATATCTCAAATCAATTTGCAAAAAAAANNNGCTGTCTCTTATACACATCTAGATGTGTATAAGAGACAGACCTAGCCCACCCACGAAGCCTACCCTGTCTTCGTTCGATCTCCCAACGTTAAGAGATAGGGGTGTACGAATTCCGACTTGAAAACCCGATTTCCTCTCGTCTTCGTGGAACGAAAGACGCGGAATTCGGGTTTCTCGGTTGGCTTCGAAGGGTCCTATCCTTCAACACTGGTCTTAAAAAGTGTCGTCATCATATCTCAAATCAATTTGTAATTTTTTTTTTCTCTGCGAGGTCCAAAAGTCACGGAACCTAGCCCACCCATGAAGCCCACCCTGTCTTCGTTCGATCGAATTCCAACCCAACGTTTAGGAAATGGGAGTTTGCGAATTCCAAATTGAAAACCCAGTTTCCTCGTCGACCAAAATAAAGATACCATAGTCGTTCGTCGTGACGTCAACAAAAACAACAACCATAATACACAGAAATAATTTTAAAAGCGACACATCTAGATGTGTATAAGAGACAGCCAGTAAACAGGGCACATCTGTCTGAAACACTAAGATTGTGCGCACGATAGGATAGGAAGGGCAACCAAACTACATAGCC